TTGATCAGATATCCCCACTCCAAGGTCGCATCGGAGCTCTTTGGTGGGATGTATTGTGGAGGGGGGGAAGAGGGCAGTTACATTTTAGACTAAAAAGAGTTAGTTGTCCATACTCGTTAGTCGGAATCACATCCAAGTGATCCGAGCAGCATTCAATACATTACACAAGTTCGACTAGTCAGTAACCCGAGGTTATTACTAGTAATAAGCATCAAGGTTAGCATAGATCATTATACAAGGTCCAAGCACCATACTGATCTCTTGGAAACGAGTATTAATAAATATTCACATTTCATTACAAGTTGAAGTGTATTATTTGGATCAACTCCTTCCGTCCTTACAACGCGGAAGTGGAAAGAGACAGCAGTCTTTTTCCTAGCAAAGTGAGAAAGCGCGTGCACGAAAGCGTGCACAGTACGGGAGTGGGAACCAGCACAACCGTACAACTGTACATTTGGTTCTGCGAGTCGAATCAATCGTATATAAATGGTCCTTCGAGCCAAATCAATCGTACACAAAGTAGCGAAAATTTCTTTTAAATATATTAAAAAATTTTTAGCAAAGGTAAAAATGTTTTATTTGAAACTAAACAAAATAGATGTTTGATTGACTAAAATCTATTTTTGTCAAAAAAGAATTGAATTGGAAGAATGGAAAGAAGACAAAAAAAGTTGTAATAAAATGATTTCTTCTTTTTTTTTAGACTGCAGTTGTTAAAATATAAATGATTTTTGCTAGATTTTATTGGACATTACACTTTTTATTTGTTAGTATACGCTTTAAATCTTGAAAGAAAACGTTTTATAGCTATAGTTATATAGCACTTTCTTAGAAATTTTATAGTTTTTAACTACGATTTAATCCAGAAAGTAGCGAAAATTTCTTTTTAAGTATATTAAAAAATTTTTAGAGACGGTAAAAATGTGTTATTTGAAACTAAACAGAATAGATATTAGATTGACTAAAATCGATTTTTGTCGAAAAAGAATTGAATTCTACACGTTAAGTAACCAAAAATATTTGTATTAAAAGAATTTTTTTCTTTTTTTGATTGCAGTGGTCAAAATATAAATGATGTTTGCTAAATTTTTTCAGACTTAACACTTTTTGTTTGTAAGTATACGCTTTAAAGCTTGAAAGAAAACGTTTCATAGSTTCTGTAAAGTAGCACTTTTTTAGAAATTTTATAGTTTTTATCTGCGATTTTTTCCACAAATTAGCGAAAATTTCTTTAAAACATATTAAAAATTTTCTAGCGACGGTAAAAATGTTTTATTTGAAACTAAACAGAATAGATGCTAGGTTGACTACAATCGAATTTTGTCGAAAAAGAATTGAATTTTACACGTGAAGTAACCGAGAAAATTTGTAATACAATGATTTTTTCTCTTTTTCTTGACTGCAGTAGTCGAAATTTAAATGATGTTTGCTAAATCTTTTTGTACTGAACATTATTTATTTGTAAGTATTCGCTTAAATGCTTAAAAGGAAAAGTTTCATAGCTTCTGTAAAATAGCATTTTTTTAGAAATTTTATAGTTTTAGACAATGATTTAATTCACAAAGTAGTGAAAATTTTTTTTATATATATTAAAAAGTTTTTAGCGACGGTAAAAATGTGCTATTAGAAACTAAACAAAATAGATTTTAGGTTGACTACTGATGATGCGACCGATGCCTTAATCGGTACTCCAGTGGATTGTAGTGAATCGAATAATGCCCTTACGGGTGATATCGAGATTCTTTATTAATGGGAAGGAGGATAGGAAAATAAAACACAATAACAAATATATTTGAGCCCAGTCAGTACTAGAAAGTACGCTTTATTTGGTTCGTCAGGGAAAAGCCTTTCGGCATAAAAACCCTGGTTGAAACGTTGACGAAGAATCCGTACAAATTAGGATAATTCTGGCAAAGTACAGGACCGCCTTTGTCCCTTGTCGCTGGCCGAACTTAGATGATTTAGTATTGCGCAATACAAATAATTCTCCTCGAAGTAGCTTCTCGCAAGTGTCAGCTTTCTAAGATAGATGAATCTCGAGCGATGAATCACGCGTGATGAACTAAGAGTGCCCAAATGGTGAGTGCCAACAGGCGCAAGAACGCGCTGGGTTTTATACCAAAAAGCGATGCAATGCTGCACCAATCACCGAAAAGCCCGAGCATAACGCGGCTGTCGATACATGTGATTGGCATAATAAATGTGGTGGGAGAACTCAAGCTAGAAGAAAGAAGGAGCCCTTACAAGCATCTTAGCGCTACCGTGGCTACTACCAAAAACAAAGACACTGCTTTGTCGAGCGTGTCTCACGTCTCGGCAGGGCCGTACATGCCCCGGCGCTTCGCCCTACTCACTCGTTGCGTATAATACGCAACAACTACAAACGAACTTCTATGAAATTGAATTGAATTCTAAACGTAAAGTAAAGGAATAAAATTTTAATAAAATGATTTTCCCTCTTTATTTAGACTGCCGTTGGTAAAATATAAATGATATTTGCTAGATTTTATTGGACATAAAACTTTTTATTTGATAGTATACGCTTTAAAACTTGAAAGAAAACGTTTTATAGCTTTAGTTATATAGCACTGTTATAGAAGTTTTATAGTTTTTAATTACAATTAAATTCACAAAGTAGCGAAAATTTCTTATAAATAAAATGAAAAATTTTTAAAGACAGTAAAAATAGGTTCCTAGAAACTAAAAAGAATGGATGTCAGGTTTACTACAATCGAGTTTCGTTGAAAAAGAATTGAATTCTACACGTAAAGTATCCAAAAAAATTTGTAATATTACGATTTTGTCTCTTTTTTTTGACTGCGGTAGTCGAAATATAAATGATGTTTGCTAAATTTTTTCGGACTTAACACTTTTTATTTGTAAGTATTCGCTTTAAAGCTTAAAAGAAAACGTTTCATAGCTTCTGTAAAATAGCACTTTTTTAGAAATTTTATAGTTTTAAACAACAATTTAATTAACAAAGTAGCAAAATTTTCTTTTTAAAAATATTAAAAATTTTTTAAAGACGGTAAAAATAGGCTACTAGAAACTAAACAGAATAGATGTCAGGTTTACTACAGTCGAGTTTCGTTGAAAAAGAATTAAATTCTTCCTGTAAAGTAATCAAAAAATGTTTAATACAATGATTTTTTTCCTTTTTTTATGGCTGCATTTGTTGAAATATAAATGATATTTTCTAGATTTTATTTGACATAACAATTTTTATTTGTTAGTATACGCTTTGAAACTTGAAAGAAAACGTTTTATAGCTTTTGTTATATAGCACTTCTTTAGATATCTAATAGTTTTCAACTATTATTTTTTCTAAAAAGCAGCGATAATTTTTCTTAAATATATTAAAAAATTTTTAGCGACGGTAAAAATGTGCTTTTAAGAACTAGACAGAATGGATTAAAGGTTGACTACAATCGAGTTTTGTCGAAAGAGAATTGAATTCTACACGTGAAGTAATTAAAAAATGTTTTAATAAAATGATTTTTTCTCTTTTTTTTCACTGCGGTAGTCGAAATATAAATGATGTTTGCTAATTATTTTGGACTAAACACTTTTTATTTGTAAGTATACGCTTTAAAGCTTGAAAGAAAACGTTTCATAGCTTCTGAGAAATAGCACTTATATAGAATTTTTATAGTTTTTAACTACTATTAACACTTGATATACCAGCCACTTAGCTATACCTATTTCTACCAAACCAGTCAAAATGACTGGTGTATAATAAAACATGTTTTTATTGTTGTTTTCAGTCTTTATTCACTCTTAAAAAATGACAAAAATAGTTGAACAATATTAGTTGTAATAGATAAATGGATTTATAGACTTTTTCAAATAACAAAATACTTATTTTTTTACAGTTTGTCGCTCACAATTTCTACATATGTAGATTTTGCTGTGTGTACACTTTCCGCATAGATTTYTTTTGCATTTATTGCAAATATTTGTAGTTTTATTGTAATTGCAATATCCTATTTGACACCATTTGCATACAGAAACCGTGACATTTGTAGTTGGTATGTCAGCTTCGTCGGGTTTTTGCCTTGAAGTCTGATATTCTGAAGCAAATTTTTCTGCTAATCGAAACAGAAAGTCTTTACGTGAGATATTTTCTCCTGTTGTGTTTTTGTACAATATCTAGCTATTTATTCCGGCTAAATCTAAAATATTGAAAAACACTTGAAGTGGCCACCTTCTAGAACCTGATTTCACCGTATATTTTCGTGCTATTTGATCTGTGACATCGACGCCAAATTTAGTATTATTATAAAACGATACAGTTTCGGGTAATTTCTTGGCAGCTTTTTCAACTTTTATGTGTTTATGTTTTGTACTTARTATAAGTACTTTTTTATTCAGCTTGCTCTTATAAACAGTAAGTGTGCATCCATTGGATTCGTACAACAACGTTGAGAAACGTGCCATGCTGTCTTTTTTCAGTTTGCAAGTTTTCGGCATTTTCCTCTTGTTTGCGCGTATTATTCCAAACAATGAAGTATTTTTAGATCTTAGTTTTACCGCCAACGGAATACTTGTAAAAAAATTATCTGTTGTTACAGTTCTACCCTTCATTGTATACGGTTCAAGAAGTTTCATTACGACAAATTCGCTTAGAGGGGTTGATGCATTTCGAGTCTCCTCTTTTCCTAAATASGGAAACCCATTTACCACATATTTCGTYTCTACATCAGACGCCAACCAAAATTTTATGCCAAATTTATGGGGTTTGTTTGGCATATATTGAGTAAATCTGCATCTGGCTTTCGATGGAAAAAGTTGCTCATCCACGGTAATATAAGCTCCCGGTTTGAAGCCATTTTACTATTTTCAATAAATTTATCCCAAACTTCTGAGACTAAAGCGAACTTGTCTGTTTGCAAATGTTGACTCCTCTGATTTCTTTTGTCGAAACGAATGTATCGCAGAATCTCAGTAAAATCACGTCTACTCATAGTGCTGGAGAAAAATGATGGTCTCCACTTGTTGTTTCACAAATATTGAAGTCTCAAAGTATTTCCTTCGTACGCCCCACGTGCGTACAATATTGCAAGAAATGCTTTCAATTTTACTTGCGCAATAGTCCAGTTTTTCCCTAAAACTCGAGAGGCTTCTAACTCTGTACAAATTCGTATATGTTCCAAAATATCGTTGTCAATCAGTAATAGGAACGCACTACTTAGATCCCCGTTCATAATGTTKCTTTTAGYATGTGCTGTTGGCCCGTGTACATCTTTGAAAGCACTATGAACTGGTAATCTACCAGCAACACCTCCTTCTTCAATTTTCGTCCAAATAGTTCCGTCTGAAGCAATTTCAGTTTGCTGATTTGGTACGTTACTTCCACCTTTGTCATCAGAACTGGAAGGGAATCGCATGCATCGTCTCGTACGTTTATTTGGAATATTTTCGCAATCACTGTCACTTGACTGATCTATATTTTCTTCATCAGGAATTTCTTCATCACTACTCTCGATAATAGTACTGTTATCACCACTGCCTTGTGGATCAATTTGTCTATCTAACAATTCGCCGTCGCTATCATATAATTCACTTTCCACATCTGAACATTCCAGAGGTATGCTGGTTACATTTTCTAAATATGTAGGAACTTTTATTCGTTTTGCCATTTTCTAAGGCTGACGATCGCTGTAAAAATTTATGGTAAAAGTAAGACACTTTCTTCTTATGTAGACTACTTGCTGAAGAGTATATTTATGAATATTTCTATATTTAAATAAATGTTTCTTACCTGTGTCACTGTGCGGATAAAAATGAATGATTACGCTTGGAGATCGCTCAGACTTAGATTTTATTTTGTGTGTTGAACGACGATCAAAACAAGAATGTTCTTGCACGTGCATTTACGAAGAAAGTGATCGTAGAAATTTTGTAAGGATACCGTAATCGCTGTAATCTGATCAATACCGACAATAAACGAACAAAAGACGAATAGGTGCTACATATAATGCAACGGTCTTATGATTCACCTGAAATCATACATTTCTTTGTGAAAACATGCACCAGTCATTTTGACTGGTACTGGTATAAATGTCAAAAAAAAAAAAAAATTTTTTTACCAGAATATATAAAAAAAAAAAAAAATTCATAAAATGTATTCTCTACTTAAAGCTACAAAAGCCATAACATCAATTCGGAAATAAAATGTTATATGTAGTAGGAATTTTGAATTAAAATTGTACGACCAGTCAAAATGACTGGTCTGGTAAATCTAGTGTTAAATTCACAAAGTAGCAAAAATTTCTTTTAAATATATTAAAAAATTTAAGGCGACGGTAAGAATGTGCTATTAGAAACTAAACAGAATAGATGCTAGGTTGACTACAATCGAATTTTGCCGAAGAAGAATTGAATTCTACACGTAAAGTAACCGAAAAAAGTTGTAATAAAATGATCTTTTTCCTTTTTCTAGACTGCATAAGTCCAAATATAAATGATATTCGCTAAATTATTTTGGACTAAACACTTTTTATTTGTAAGTATACGCTTTAAACCTTAAAAGAAAACGTTTAATAGCTTCTGTTGATTAGCACTTTTTTAGATTTTTTATAATTTTTAACTACGATTTAATCCAGATAGAAGCGAAATTTTTTTTTTACATATATAACAAATTTTTTAGCGAAGGCAAAAATGCGCTATTAAAAACTAAACAGAATAGATGTTTGGTTGACTACAATCGAATTTTTACGAAAAATAATTTAATTCCACAGGTAAAGTAAAAAAAAAGTTAAAATAAAATATATATGAGTTTCAAAGGGAAAATTGAAAATAGTTAATAAATTTTGATGAACAAATTTATTTGATCTTGTTGAA